AGGCTCAAAGATTATAGAGCTGAGCTCTGTGTGTGAAGAGAAGCTAACCTGTATCTGAAGAGGGTCAAGCCTGGCCTGTGGGAGAACAGACAGTGAGGAATTGAATGGCTGGAAAACCTGGTCTATCAGAGGTTTAGATAAATGAAAAGATCCATTTATGAGCAATTGCTGCCCACTGGACAAACCTGACCTCAGAAACCACAGCAAGGCTCTGTGTAGCTTTTCACCTGTTCATACTATTAAACCATGTGGACAGAAACTGGCCGGTGTCTGCTGGCCTCTAATTAGGGATTTCCAAGTACAAGGTCAATCTCTCTCAATTTAGATAATCATGAACAAACTCCTAAAAACAAAAGCATTTAAAGATTTCCCAGTTTTGGGAGCATGTTCAAGCTTTGCACGTATGTGTACAAACATATAATAAACAGCTCCAATAAAGCTACTATGGAAATCCTCAACAGCATCCAGGAAGAAGCAGTTCAGCCATGGATGGTCCATGTTTCAGGGTCTATGGAACTGAGATGCTTTATTGTGAATCATCAACTTTACTGGACTTGACTCACCATGAAAACACAGCACTGGAAATATCAATGAGGGTGTTTTTGGAAAGATGTGACCGAGAAAGAAAGGCCTACTGTGAATGTGGGGGCACCGCCCCTGGTTACCTGGACTGAATGAAAAGCAAGCAAGCTGAAGACAAGGGTTCTTGGTTTCACCGCCATGCTGTCATGCACGTAGTCCCCAGAACTCTAAGTCAGAATAAATCCTCTCCCTGTTGCCTCTTCTTAAAGTATTTGGTCACCGCAGGAGGTAACTAATATAATGAATACTATTTAAAATGTGCAATATTGGGGGCTGGAGAGATGGCTCAGAGCTTAAGAGCACTGGCTGCTCTTCCAGAGGCCGTGAGTTCAGTTCCCGGCAACCACAAGGTGGCTCACAATAATCTGTTAGGAGATCTGATGCCTTCTTCTGGTGTGCAGGCACACATACAGGAAGAACACTGTATACATAATAAATACATGTTTAAAAAACAGAGGTGCAATATTGGTATGCTCCTTTCTGAAATGAAAATACCGCCAGTGTGTTTAAACAAACAAATCAAGTTAATTCAAATAAATATCCTTTATTAAAGAAAAAAAAAGAATATTGTTAAGCACCAAAACTGTGTGTTGTTACATTGCATGTACAATAAGAAAGGTGAGTGCAATATTGGGTGAACAAGTATTTAAGTCAGGAGTGTGAAATGATAAAAAGAGAAAAGGCAACATAACGATGCAGAAAGGTTGCACTAAAGAGCAAAAGGCAATAGTCAAAACAATTATTGGAGATTCATAGTATTGCTATAAATGCCTTAGTATTTTCTTTGTATTTTTAATACTTTAGAATGTTAATTGAGCATATGAATGAACTATATAAATTTGCAAGAGATGGCATTTACAGTACGCTGCAGACAAATCCACTTAATGTAATGATAGGAAAGTCATCCTGCAAAGCCAGGCACAGTGCACTAGTGTTTTGCTTCTGTCTTTATAACATTGCACAAAGCTGATAGTGCTGAGTCAGTTTGCCATTGTAATTTTCATATACCCAAAACAGGTGAAAAGAAGTGTCAGTTTCTTAGCCCCAGTGGGCTTTACTCATGCAAAATGATTTGCAGCCTTCCGTTTCTCAATAAACTACATACTGTGGTTTCACACTTGGCGATGCATACGGTACAGAGAGAGATTCAACAAGGCAGTGGGGCTGTGTCAAAGACATGTGTGTCACTGTTATGGGATGCACTGTCCAACCTTTGCAACATCACACAAATGAAGGGAAATCACAAGAAAGGGAATGCCACTGGTAACTGCGAAGACTGGAGCAAGGACAATGGACTTTGCAAGGAGAAACCTAAAACAACGCATTGCACCCTTTGATAGTTAACTATACAACATGCAAGTAAAAATGTTTTCTCCAATTAAAACTCAATTCAACATACAGACCTTTTGCTTTTAAATTTCTCAAGGTTTTTCCTACATACTTTCTGAGCCACTTTTAACTGTACCTACAAAAACAAACACAAGAAATGAAACTTCCCCTTCCTCTCAAATGATTGCTTTAGAGTCAGCGTGAAACAGCATCCATGAATGCTTAGCATGTTAACCTCAGAGGTATTTTCTGTAACGCACCTTGCAGTAACCCAGTAAATGTGCTTTGAAAGACAGAGAACATTTCTAAATTTGTAATCCAATCATACAAATGCCCAGTTGTGCGTTCACTATGGGCAAAACGAAAATTTACAATACGAGCATCTTTAACATAACTCACGGGACATTTAGCAAACATACATCCTCTCTCTCTCCTCTCTCTCTTGCGCGCTCTCTCTCTCTGGGTCAGGACTGCCTCCCACTTTTAAAAGCTTCTGTTTAAATACATGACAATTTAGATAATGATATAAACTCATTTGTATGAAAACTTTTTAAGTTACATTATATTTATAGGATAAAAATACCATTGCTTCACTTTACAAAGCAATTAGGCAAAATTTTAATGTGCTTTAACAAAAAAAGGAAAGTTCAGGCATGACTACTGATGGGTTTAGTAGCAAGACATAAAATGCTGTATGCTCAACAGTAAGGTGCTTCTATTTTTTCACCTCTTCCATCTAAAATAAGTCTTGATGATCACTGGCAACACCAAGCACAAATAAAAAGTTTAATATGCACATTTAGCTTTATATCATATATATTCAGTGCAAAAAATGAGGGAAAACGAAAGGTCTCCACTTCTCCTGCCAAATGGCATCTTAAACTGTCTGCAACTGTCCAAATATTCTGTAGTTGCTCAGAATTTAGTTACTCTGCTTTACCTGGTAAAAATATAACTCAAACTCCCTGAAAAGGTCTGCTTAAGACCCAAAGTCACTATGCAGGTTGGTTTCTGGTGATGAGCATATTACAAAGCTAGGTTAAAAGCAATGATTTAAATAAATACAAATACATCCTGTGATGAGTTCCAAAAAGAAGTCTCAGGGAGTATAGAGATGCAACTGCATCAATGTGTGTGTCCCTGTGTGGCATGGATGCTGCCTACAAGGCTGCATCCCACTGGGCTTTAGATTCTTAGTGTGTGGTTTCTATGATGCACTGTGCAATTAACACATTCTAGGATATACTGTGGGCACACACACTCCACGAAGTGTTCATTATAGGAAAGGTCGCCACACCACTGTTTTTAAAATGGGATTTGTATCATGTGCTGTGGCACACACCTTTAGTCCCAGCACTCTTAAAGGCAGACAGGTGGATCCCTGAGTTCAAGGCCAGCCTGATCCTGCTGAGTTCCAGGACAGCCAGGGCTACACAGAGAAACCCTGTCTTAGGAAAAGAAAAAAAAAAAAAATGTGTGAGTGCACAATGAACACCTAAGGAATGATTGTTTTTAATGAACTCCATACCCATATAAAGCACTCTATACTAAATAGTCCCTTATAGAGGGCATTGCATATCCCCTAGAAGTCCTTATTCTCCAGCACTTTCTTATGCTAAAATGCAATTAGAATTTAAATTATGAGATATCCTTTTCTATACATACTACATTGGCTATTAGACACAATTTTGGTTGTATCGAGGGAATATCTGAACTTGACATTCAAGTATGAACATTAATGTCCCCAAGTGATCTATCTATTCGCTATACCGTATTAGGGAACAGCACAAACAAGCAGGGTCTGTGGATAGGGAATGACAGCAAGAGTCTAGCTGTACAGACAGACTGGGAATTGGGAGCACCGATTGAGTGACAACTAAACATATGAATGTACTGTGAAGGCCAGAGCTCATCACTTCGGGTCCACTGACTTCATCCAAACATTAAGCCAAGAGTCCTTGTTTTATTAAGGACCCTTTATTATTGTTTAGGAAACTAAGATAGAGGGAGAAAAAACAACCCACCATGCTTATTATTTTTCTGGGGCTCTAAATCCACTTTAAACTAATGCGGGTTCATCTAGTGATTTCTTGAACACCTGTATGCTAATTACTTTGTGTTACTGTAAAAACAGTGGCATAATTCTTTAAGTAGAAATCTTTCCTTGGAGGTTAGGAAGCAACACTACTGACGGAACATAAGGTCTTGAACTCTACCTGCACCACACTCCAGTACAAAATCTGAGAGAGAAACCGGCATTAAAAATGGGCTGAAGGCTCCATGCTGGAGCCGTGGATTGTCAAGAATGAAGTCATTCCTGGAGAGCTAAGACAGGATGTACTAGAGCTGCTCGCGATCCTGCTTTCCCACCTAAAAGGCCAGGAGTTTGATGCCAAGACTGACTACAACACAATGGCTGTTGTTAATTTAATGTTATAGTCCATATTTTCGTAAAGTTTTTTTTTTTTTAAAAAAAATGGGCTATAGAGATAGCTGAGGGATTAACAGCATGCACTGTTCCTTCAGAGGATCCGAGTTTGATTGTGAGAGGGAGTCTGTAAATCTAGCTCCAGGCAAGAACCTCTTGGACATACATACTGAAAACATTTTTTTAAAAAATGAAACTTCAAAAACAGGAAAGAAAAAAAAAAACCCACAAAAACAAAACTGCAGCCAACCTTATCTTGACCCCCAGCTGCAGTCCTAACCCTGGAAGGACAGACAGGACGAGTGCTGCAGATACAGTCTGCACGGCAAGTCCCAGGCCAGCCAGAGCCCCAGAGCAAGACCAGTATCAAAAGTAAATAAAAGCTGGGGACATGGCTCAGTGGTTAACAGCAATGGCTGCTCTTCCAGAGGACCTGGGTTCAATTCCCAGCAACCACATGATAGCTCACAACTGTCTGTAACTGGTTCCAGGGAATTTATCACCTTCACACCAATGCACAAAAATCAGTTAAAATAAATGTTAAAAGTAAAACAACTAGATGTGTAGAATACTGATACACCGATACTTAATATTAGAAGTGCATAAAGGATGGGTGACTTTTACAAAGTTTGTAAACTTTGCAATTTTTCAATGGCTCTGGGTATGAAGGACCTGGAGTGAGGTTTGTACATCGGAGCTGTTTTAATTCTTCTGGATAAGATATGGGAATTGTGCTAGGACTAAAACCAATATGTAAAAGGTTACAAAAGTTCCCAGTCTCATTAATAAACATGCTACGAATATTTAAGTGTAAAGATTTGGTTTACTTTAACTTGTTACCAGAATTTTTTCCATAATTAAAGAAAAATATCTCTCACTATTGACAAGAAGAAAAGCTGTGTTTCTGGAGGAAGCCATTTGTGGACAATTACGTGCTCTCGCTTCAGGGTGGTTTCTGGGCTAAGCTTGGAGAGAACTTTCTAGGAATGAAGTTCTTTTTGGTATTTCAACCCCTCCTTATAAAGCCAAGAAGATCTGTCTCCACATTAGCACACACTACACCATGCTGTAAACTGGGGGCAGCATATCTACTTTCAAGCAGGTTCACATAATCCCACTGACAATCCATGACAGCTCCATTCATAAATGGACCCTGTACGATACAGCTAAGTCAGCACTACAACTATGTATGTAAGGTTCAAGATTTAGTGGCAGCAACGAATGCTATCTTCATGTTCTAGCCAAAGCATAAGAAAATAGTGAAATGCCAGCTGCAGGCTTTCGGGAATGGCTACCTTCTGGACCTTTACTGAACACATGCTCTTCACCATGGATCATAACAATAAAAACTGGTGCATGATACAAACACTTGTCATCTGTAACCCTACTGTGGAATCCTGATTTTTGATTCTCAATAGGAAAGTCATGAGTTATAGTAATCAAGCAGTAGTTCAAACAAAAAGACTAAAAATAATTTGAAACATTATCAAATTACGAAGAACTGCTTCTCATAAACAGGGTGCACATAAAATTCAAACTATTCTAAATTCAGAATTATGAAATGCTATTTTAAAAGCATGGAAATTTTAACTTCAAACTCTTACAAAATGTAAGACTGTGGCCTCTTAAAAATATGCCTTATTAAATGTGTTGTGTTTTGGTGCACACATTACTAGGTCTATCTCCATTGGCTTCTCAGACACTGAACATCTCTGGAGATGAAAAAATGTGAGGATTTTTAAGTGTGTTCCATGTTGTTTTCTTTTCATTCCTGACTGTGACTACCATGATAAATGTCTTCTTTAGCATGTCACTCTATTTCTAGAAGCTGATGTGGAAGCAGCTGAGCTTCAGCAGATATCTTCTCGGTGCACTGAAAGATGACTCCCAAAGCAGCTCACACAGTAGAACTCTGCCAACCCAGGGTTCTTCTAACTCATAGTGACCCCTAGTGTAACTGGCCACTATGAGGTTGTGAAAGGGTGGGCGGGAAGAGGTGTGTAAGGAGCAGCTGTCTGTCTCCAGGAGGCCTTCACAAGGCAGTCAGGAGCATTGCACATAGAAAACTGACGTCACCGCTACCAGCGAGAGTGACTGAACAGTAATATCCTCCAACTGTGCTTCTTTTTTTCATACCACTTTGCCAGTATACTCAGCAACTAATGGAATTCAATTTGGGGACCAAGAGCTTAAACTTTTTCCCAAAAGAATCAGAACCAGTCTTAATCCGTGGGTATTTTTCTTCTTTCTGTTAAGTCACCTGTATGTAAAGAAAATAACACAGTATGTTAGAATAAAAATACCTCTTACAAGTAGGGATATGCTTGTTCCCTCAGACCTTTATTCTTTATATAGATGGGAGAAAAAAGCATGTTTCATTTTACAGATGTTCTGTATTATAGTTCTGTGTTTTCTACTCATGAAGCTACACATGGTACTGAGGACTTGAAACACAGCTAGTATGAGTGAGAAAATATCTTCTAGTTTTTAGATTAAAAAGCTCAAACAAAGTCGTTTTCCAATAAGAACATTTTCGCTTTGATAGGCTAATTCACTGAGATATGCTATTAGGAAATACAACATAAAGACTGACTAGAATCAAGGTCTGGATTTGAAAGCCTTGAAGGAACCTAAAGAGGCTGCATGCACAGAGCTAAATTGTCTCACAGCTTTATGGCATCTGTATATTGAAAGGTATCATTTTGTCATATAAAATTTAGTAAAAATCAATTTTACACATCCTTTTTTTAACCTTTGAAACAGGACTACCATCAGTTTTCTTGAAAAGATATTTATGCCTCCCATCTCTTTCCACGGTTACATTGTTACACAAATTTGCAAAAGGTATTCCTTTCCCTCATGCTTAGAGAGCTACATCGGGCTACTGTGAGCCACAGCTGTCTGCGAGGAGTCTCAACAGGATGATGAAGAACATACATTTATCTTTTAAAAGCAACTCCGAAGGTTCCAGGTCATACATCTGCTGAGTGTTTCCTGGTTTTCCTTCAACACAGAAGAACTAACAGCCCCTCCCACTCTCTCAATCAGTGCCCATTCGAATCCACTTCAGTTTAGCTACACAAAACAATGCTGTCCTGTCGTGTGTCAGGCAAGACCAAGTGGGATGGAGAAGACAAGCACAGAAATGCTGACCTGAGCTGCTGCAGTGAAAGGACTGTGACTGGGTGAGGGACAGAGAGGGAGGGAGAGGAGGGGGGACAAGGGGGGAGCTACAAGCAGGAACAACACAGAGGGGCAAGAACTGTAAAGAGGGAGAGAATGTGCGAGTATCTGCTGTGGAAAAGGTCCTTGGAAGACGACATGAATCTATTAGTTAGATAGACTGATATTAATTATACTCCTTTACACTTCTTAAAGGAAAATAAAGACCAATGTTTACCTATAAAGTAAGCAAGATGACTGAACATCACTGCACAGAACAGCAGTAAAGGAAAAGGCCAATCAGAGTCAACACATATTAGAGACTGTGATAGAAACTGTGCCTTTGAAGCTTGAGGCAGAGCCATGGAAAGAGGTACCTGACATTTCCTCATTTCCTAGGCTCACAGGAAAAGTAGAGGTACTTTTAATATTAACTCTTTGACTAATTCATATTTTACTGTGCCAAGTCTTCAAAATCCATGTGTGCTTGCGTATACATTAAATAAACATTTAGATTCAGAGTCAAAGGCAGGAATCCACTTTTCAGTAATTCTCTTAGGCTATTCTTAAGATCATACATGATCAGGGATCACTGCATACCCTCCCATCCAAAGGTAATTGTTCTGGATATATCTCTGCTAGAAAATCATTTACAAATAAGCTCTCCCCGGCCCCACCCCCTGATATGGGGGTCTTTCTGTATTCTGGGTTGTCCTGGAGATCTGTAGACCAAGCTGGACTAAACTCACACAGATCCTCATGCATCTGCTGCTGAGTGCTGGGATTAAAGGTGTATGCCAACATACCCAACTTTAAGAAATAAGCTATCTTGTATATACCCCTTCTAGTGTTCCTTTTTGGAGGGGCTGCTTTACTGTTTTAATATGCAATCATAACTGTCCTTGAAGTCATGATCCTCCTGCCTCTACTTCCTGATCATTGCCTGGGTATTGCAGAACTGCACAGCCAAGTCTAGTTAAGTCTTCCTCTTTTGTTAAATATAAAGTCTATCAGGGAACATGCTCTATACACTTTGCTGAAACCATTGCATAACTTACAGCATATGCCATAACCACTTTATTCTTTTTAACATAGTGTAATTTGTGCCATTTAAAAGCAGCAGAGGGCTTGGTGGCAGCACTCAGAGAGACAGAGGCAAGACTAGCCTGACCTATCTATCCAGTTCTAGACAGCTAAAGCTGCATGGTGAGACCCCATTTAAGAGAGAGAGAGAGAGAGAGAGAGAGAGAGAGAGGAGCATGCAAGCAGCAGATTGCAAATATTAGAATACATATATATAACCAAATACAATCTTACTGTGCAGGACTCAAGTGTTCATATTTATAAATGTAGCTGCTTATTATAGACCACAGAGAAACAGTAGTGTGACTGAACATTTTAAGTATTTAGAAAGCTATGTAATTACAGGCAGCTAAATGATCAAAATTTAATATGCCTAATTTAAGTAGTTCAATTAAAAAGGCTGAAAAATCTGTTTTAAAAAGTTTAAAAATCTGTCCAAGATACAAATAAGCCTGTCTCTTTTCTTGGAATATAGCTATACTGTAGATTTTTTTTAATGAGCAAGATAGAAAAAAAATGACCTGCTGCATAGCATTTACATAGCCACTGCCCTGTGCTTTCTGGGGCTGGAAAAATGACTAAGAACTCTTGGCAAGAGGACCCGAAATAGATTCCTAGCACACTGTCAGGGGGATTACAACTGCCTGTAACTAAATCTCAAAGTGGATCTCATGTTCTTTTCTGGCCTCTCTGGTTATCATACACATGTACACAGACACTCTGCACACACACACACAAATACGTACAATTACAAACAAACGTAAATACAAAGCATTTTCCTGGTCAGATGCAGCGCATGCCATGATGGCTAGAGAGTCACAAGGAGTTCCAGACCACCCTGGATACAGATAGACTCTACCCTGGAAGGCACATACAGGAAAGAAAGTATTTGCAACAATGAGACAAAGATAAACCAGTAACACAGAATGTGGCCTCTAGAAGCATATCCACTCGACATCAAAAGAGGGACTACTGAATAAAGGGACAGAATTTAAAAAAGAAAAGAAAAGAAAAAGGCACTAAGCAAATCGAATATCCAGGTAAAGATGATAATGTTTCTGAGTTAAACCTGGAACGCACATATCTATTAGCCACACCATAGCTGACTCATATGATGAACAAGCCACAGAGAACAAGACCTGCTACAGCTGGATCGCTGGCTCATGCTGCTGAAGACAGCATGTCATTTACCTGCTAGTTCTCCCAGTCTGTGCAAGGTAAAGACTCCTCCTCATCCTCTGACTCTGGGGATGCTTCTTTAATTCTTCTTAGAGCTTCATGGATGCTCCGTGTCAAAGGGTCTGTATCAGGCAGAAGTGTGAAGGATTCTCTCAGAGCTTCCTTCTGAACCTTCTTCAATTTTACGCCTTTCCTTATTTGCGCCAAGATATTGTTACTATCATCTTCATCAGGAAAAGGAGGCAGAGTCCGTTGTTCAACCTTTTTCAGATGAAAACTACCACGCTTCAAAGATGCTAACACCTCATCCATGGGCGAACTCACTTTGGAAAACAAAACAGAGTTAGTCAAACTTTGTGACCTCTAGTACAAGTGGGGAGATGGTCTTGATATGAAAGCTGAGATTCCCAAAGGACCCCTATATACTGCATCCACCACGAGCCCAAGGTAAGACAATGATTGGTTAATTTTTAAATTAATTTATTTATTCATTTGTTTTCAAGATAGGGTCTCTCTGTGTGTATCCCTGGTTGTCCAGAAACTTGCTTGGTAGGCCAGGCTAGCCTTGAACTCATGGAGATCCGCCTGCCTCTGCTTCCTGAGGGCTGGGATTAAAGGTGTGCGCTGCTACCACCTGGCTTTTAAAAAAAATTGGAGTTGGAAGATGATCTGAATTCAAATTCCCAGCATCCATATAAAAGCTGGACACAGTGGTGCGAACCTGTAATCCCAGTACTTGGGAGGTGCATGGTGACAGATGGAGCCTAATGGGGTTGACATGGGGCTACTGGCTAGCTAGTCAAGCTGAAATGGAAACCTCCAGGTTCAGTGAGAGACCCTGTCTCAAAAAGTAAGGCAGAGAGCAGTTGAGTAAGATACTCAAATTGACTGGCTCAACATGAAAAACTGAGTACATATGCATCTAAAACTAACACGCACATACACCCTACAGTCCCCCCGCCACACACACACACAATTAAATGCCGGTTCATTATCGCTGTGCTTTTTCATTAGTTATTTCACATGAGATTCTATTCAGATTGTGGTATGAAGTATTTTACAGACTATTCTCAGGTTAATATGTAATAGCAAGATGCTCTGTATTATGTGCCTCATGCAAACTGAAAGTACCTCAAAGGCAAGAAAAGTTACTTAGAAGTAACTACCGAAGCATACTGGGCGTGTGGTAAGCTGCACAGAACTTCCTGCTCTTCTTTGTCTTTTTATATGAAGAACACTCTTAAGTCTTCAATACTAAACTGTGACCAAATATATGATCTTGTTAATGGCTTCATACCCTTTCTTACAAATGATATCATTATCATCAATAGCATATGAGCTCTACCACTAAGGCAGACTCCCCAGTCAGAACAGTTTACCATTCAAGTTAAAAGTCAGATTTGTTTTTCCTCACACAAAAAGTGCTACCTAGCAAATGGGCCAAATGTCACTTGTATATTTTAAAAACCTGTGTAGCTGGATGGTGGTGGTTCACACTTTTAATCCCAGCACTTGGGAGCAGGAGGATTTCTGTAAGATCGAGGCTAGCCTGGTCTTAGTTCTGGGACAGGCTCCAAAACTGCAGAGAAACCCTATCTGAAGAAAAAACAAACAAGCAAACAAAAAAGAAAACAAAACAAAAAACCATGCCTAACAGCTCAAGAGAAGGTATTAATTTGTAAACAATTGCTGAGTTCATAAGAATTCTCCTCTGCTGTGACCTTGAATGCCTGTTTGCTATCAAAAACACCCAAGAGCAATCTTTTAGGCTTTGCAGCACAGGAACTGATACAAAGTTCCTTCTCGGTGCTGCACTTCACAGCAGAGTCAGATAGGTCCTGTTCACTCACCTCTCCTCCGCTGCAAACCATCGGCTGTCTTCCGGAGCTTCTTCCGGGCACTGACCAGCTGGCTGCTGTCGAAGAGCTGCGCTGAGGGGGCGCTGGCTGACTTTGGGATCCTCTTCTCACAGCCCTCCTTTCTAAGTGCATCTTTCTCCAGTGTCTCTGAAGTGGTGGTGGCACCATTGTCCTTTGCAACAGGCAGAGGTGGAGGTGGGGGTGGGGGGGGAGGGGGAGGTGTTGGAGGGAGAGGGGGTGGGAGTGGATCTGCTGTAGCAGAACATGGTTTGAGGTCATTACTAGTCAAAAGTGGAAGTGATGAGGGAGGAGGCAGTTCGGAGGTAACAGCATTGGGAGGTAATGAAGTGGCTTCAAGTTGTACTGATGAAGTGTCTTCAAGATGGACAAGGCTCTGGGGTTCTGCTGTCTGTGAAGACCCAAGCTTGCTTCTTCCTTCTCCCACTTCAGTCTTCTCCTCTCCCTGTAGCTCTCTGGGTAGAGAGTCACAGTGTTCCTCACAGGGCCCAGGACTTGCTGTACTTTTTCTTCGCGCATGAGCCACTCTTAATCTTGTTGATTTAAGGATGACTTGCCCGGGGTACCTCTAAAATATCAAAGTAATTGGATGCGTATATTAAAATAATTTGCCAACAAATGCTTAGTTATTTCTCCCTTTTACAGAATGTTATTATTTTGGCTCTTTTCTGACTTTTTCCAAGGGACAAGAAAAACTAGAAAACCTTTGCCTGGTCTTTCAATACCTTTAAACAATTATCACCACCTCTCTTATTGCCTGCTATAAAACCCTCTTCCCTCTTACCCAATTGCTTAACAATGCCACATTCAGGGCTTGGTGGTGCACTTGCCTTTAATCCAAGCATCTAAGAGACAGAGGAGGTAGACAGCTATGTGTTTAAAGACTAGTCTGGTCTATATTCATTCCAGTTTAGCCAAGGCTATAGCAAGACCATATACAACACAAAGAAGAAAACCAATCAAATGACTTTAAGTCTTCAAAGGAAAAAAATAGTATATAAAACAAGACAAACAGGATCATATATATATATATACACACACTGGTACGTAGCAGGAAACTAAGAAACAATTACAGTTTATTTTCAAATACTTATATTAAAAAAAGTTTAAAAACTTTAGGGGGTACAAGGCACTTTAAAAAATGCCTGGTAACAATTTTATGACAGAAGGGGGAGAGTGCAATAAAGGTCATGATATCGACATCTTTTTATTCAAAAGAATCCAGGCTTTCTTGACACTCTGCTCTCTCCATTCTTTTATTCCTGAGACAGCACACCAGGGTCAAAAGAATATCACTGTAAAACTCAGCCACAAGACAGGGAACCAATCAACTACTAAGATAGGAGTAATTTAAATGGAAATCTTATAATAGAGCTATACTATGGCTCTCTCTGAAAAGCAATGAAAAACCAATCGAGTGTGTTTCTATTACCTGCTTAAATGTTCTAAGTCTATCCAGGGTCCTCTGTCTCTCTTGGCTAACCCAGGCACTTTTTCTTTCCTCTTCATCGTGTAATTTTTCTCTCTTCTGGTAAAAAAGAAAAAAGGAAAGGAAAGGAAAAAGGGAAAGAAAGGAAAAAGGGAAGGAAAGGAAAGGAAGGACAAAAGGAAAGAAGGAAAAAAGGAAGGAAGGAAGGGAGGGAAGGATATTATATTACACTGTGCCCAGTTATCTTAACTATTTTCCCCAATATATTAAACAAGTGATTAAGGGAAGATTCATTGGACAAAACCTTTTATGCTGTGTAACACTATAGCTTCTGCAGGATCACAGTGGACTGATAAAGAGGAAACTTTCTCTAAGCTAAACACTGCTTAGTCTCGGGGGTCTGGGATGAAACAAATTTAGTAATAAATCTATTTCTGGTTTTCACATTCACCTAACTCGAATAAAAGTGGTTTTTGAAATCAGCAACCATGTCAGTGATTTAGTGTTGAAGAGTTAGAAAAACACACTTCAAACATTATCCGTGCATCATGTGGCTCACAGTACGTACACCTTACAGGCAAGAGTTGGCCACGCTGGTGTTATAACTTTCTCCTTACTGTTGAGTCACCTAAAAGGTATGACAAAATCTCATTCGTCAGCTTATATTTTAGTGAACAAAAGAAATACAAAGGGCTATTACATTTCTGCTTAATTTTAAAAGCTAGTTCTTCCCTTCAGCAGGGCATGAACTAAAACTGAAATGGGCACAGCTTAGCGAGGCCTTGCTCACAGCCAGAAGCACTGCATACTTAAAACAAGGAACAAGACACACTGGAGTTGCCTCCTTATGAGACTGATGTCCCGGAAATTCAGCTTTTCTACACTATCCTTTCACCTCACTCTCTCTACCCACTGTCTCTTAACAAAGGCAGCTCTTACTGTATTCTCCTCGGAGATAAAGAGATCTTTGCTTCTTTAAAAATGTGAGAGGTGGGATGAGTCTGGTAACACACACCTTCAATCCCAGCACTCAGGAGGCAGAGGCAGATGCAGGAGGACCTCTCTGAATTTAAGGCCAGTCTGGATTACACAGTGAGTTCCAGGACACCAAGACTATATAGAAAGACCCTGTCTCAAAACAAACAAACAAAACAACAAAAAGAAAAGAAAAAGATGAGACTGCAGAGATGGCTTAGTCAGCATAGTGCTTACTGCAAAATACAAGACCCAAGAAGCCATGTAAATCCATGTGTGGAGGCTGGGGAGATGGCTTAGTGGTTGAGAGCACTGACTATTCTTCCAGAGGTCCTGGGTTCAATTCACAGCACCTACAATGCAGCTCACAACTGTCTGTAACTTCAGTTCCAGGGAATCTGACACCCATGGCAAAACACCAATGCACATAAAATAAAAAATAATTAAAACACTGGGCAGTGGTGGCGCATGCCTTTAATCCCAGCACTCAGGGGAAGCAGAAGCAGTCGGATCTTTGTGAGTTCGAGGCCAGTCTGTGTCTACAAGAGCTAATTCCAGGACAAGCTCCAAAAAGCTATAAAGAAACCCTGTCTTGAAAAACAACAAACAAAAAAACAAACAAGCAAAAAAACTCAACATGTTCCTTAAAAAGTATCTCAATGAAACCTTAACCACTCCAAGAGGTACAAAAAATATACTTAGAAACAAAGAAGTGAACAGCAGGGCTACTGATAAGCAATGAACTTGCTTAACTGTAGAAGTGGACCTTAACTGAGAGATGAATGTGACCCTTTCACACCCAAACCCCGAGCACACTGAATGGAAGGGAACACTTAGAAAGCAGGGCAGTAGCAGCTGCTTTACTGTTCACAGCCCAATGCACTCATCCCAATACTCAATGCTTTTCCAACTAGCCTTGCAAGAGAATTTATAAAATTCTAATAGTTATTTCAGAGTCATGATTAAGGCCTAGCTAAAAGCAGCAACAATTAATTCTGGAATTCATTTTTTTCTGGGTTGTTTTATTCTTCTATGATAATCACATGTCACTTTATATATTACACACAATAAAGAGGTTAAATCAAAACTTCATAATAAATCTTTTTCCCCCTAGACATAGCTTCTCTGTGAAACCACTGCAGGGATTAAAAGTGAGTACCACCACCATCAACATTTAACATCTGGTGTATGATCAAAATTTATGCATAGACATAAAAATACAGAAGGTGTAAAACTTGGTTATAAAAACCATTCAAGGCCATGCACTAGAAAAAGTCATGTAACTTGTTAAAATGTCCAAACAATCAAATAGTAAGAAAGAGACTGTTTAAGAACAATTAATTCTATATTCTTCATCATTTCTTGATTTATAAGTCAACGACACACTACATCAAACATCAGGAAAAGGGCTCATGCTAGGTCAGGTCTTTAATGAACCACAATCTTTGGTTTTGTTGTTTTTCGGAACAAAGTGTAGGTAGTGCAGGTTGGCCTTGATTTCACAGGCATGCATCATGGTCAATTAGAGGGGATTTCTGCGGAGCGGTAAAAGCACATTTTCTAGTTTGGCCAATCATGAGGCAGAGGAAGGGATGTTGTGTGATATTTTTTGTTCTGATAAATAAAGCTTGCCTGAAGATCAGATGGCAGAGCTATCCCAGAAGCCTGGCAGTGGTGGCACACACCTCTAATCCCAGCACTCGGGACGTGGAGATGGGAAGTGATAAGGAGGGGTGCAGACAGGATCTGAGCCCTTTTGGGGGAGACAGGAAGGAAGCAACTGGTAGTTGCTCCTAGTTCTTTGATCTTCCAGGTTTTTACCCTGATTTCTAACTCCTGGTTTTTATTGATTAAGATTAATTAGACTAACACTTCAATGGGACACTACCCTTTAGATTGGGAAAGCAAGAGAAAAGGGGTTTGGGATAGGGAATTGAATGAACAAATATAAGACAACCTGGCTATGTGGCAAGAAGGAACTTTGATAATAGTTTTTTTTAGAATGGTGGCTTTAACCCATGTATAAATAGAGCTCTTAAATGGTGCAGGCAGATAGCATGTATAGTGAAATTTTGAACGGTGTCAGGACTCTAAAGACATCCTTGGCAGGAGGATGAACAGTGGAAGCAGTGTTTTCTTACAGATTGGAGGGGAGGTGACTTAGGGAAGGCATTGCAGAAGGCCTGAGTAGCCACTTGCTTCCTGATGGGTGGAACTGTCACACACTTTCAGAGAGGCCTGATAACACTTTGTCTCTTAGTGGTAGTAGATCTTTGGATAAACATTAGTTACATGGATTATGGCAAGGGACAAGGAATTGTGAATGATTAAAAACAGCACACTTTCATGTCTTCTTACATGTCAATTATTACTAAATACAAAAGCCAGGCTCTCTTCCTAAATCTCAGATGCAGACTCAATATATCATCTTCAAGGTTTCCAGCTAGGAAAACAAAGAGAACCATGCTTTAAGCTCCACAATAAAAACAAATATAAAGCTCCAGGCTGATCTTCCCTCTTAGATATCAAAGCCCAGAGCTGCTTAAGAACAGTGAGTTAAGAATACACCCCACTTTCTGCCCCCTGCTCAACACGCTTCTGTTCCACGTCTCAAATTTATACCCTCCGGCCCAGCTGAATAGGTCAAATGAAGGAACTTTCCCAGCCTAGTGTACATCTGGCATCCACCTGGAAATGGGAGTGCTTTCATTATCCTACATTTAGATACATACCACAGATTCCCAAGAGAACAGACTCAAGTCTGTAGAGGAGCAATGACTTGGAGTGGTGAATACACAAATTCTCTGCTTAGAGGAAAGTGTTTTCTACACCACTGGTGGTGAAATGCTTAGAAAGAAACTGCATTATCCAAGAGACGTGGGTAGAGCTTCCATTGCAAATCCACATCTCTAATGAGTCAGATGGACACACAGAGTTCAGGAAAATGAAGTATTCATATGGCTGATCTGTCAGCTGGTATACTATAAAAGTCAAGTATCTGAAGATCTCGGATGAGCCGGGCGGTGGTGGTGCATGCCTTTATTCCCAGCACTCGGGAGGCAGAGACAGGTAGGTAGATCAGCCTAGTCTACAGAGCAAATTCCAGGACAGGATCCAAAACTACAGAGCAACCCTGTCTCAAAGAAACAAAAAAGATCCCAGATGGAGAGATGTGAATGCCAAGGTGTTAGGGGAAGTATAATGCTTACAACCTAGAACCTAACATGGTAAGTACTGTCTCTAAGAGCACAACCCCTAGGTGGCAGACCTGGAATGTACATCAGTTTCCTCCTTTAATATCTGAAGGGCTTTGGTCAAATCACTCAACTCCAGAAAACTAACAAACTGGTTCACCTGTGAAGGAGCTGGAAGGAAACCGCTATATGCTAACACAGGAAACTGGGCTCTGTTAGCAGCAAAGTTAGGTACAGGTAACTAGGAATACTTTGTCTACAGAAATTCAGCTTTCATTGTCACAATGCATGTATGTTTGTGTGTGTGGCGGGGGGGTTGTTTTGGGGGTAAGGAATAACCACAATGTCAGTGGAGGTCAGAAGGCAACTTTAGTCAATTCTTTCCTTCCACTGTAGGATCTGAGGCACCAACTCAGGTCAGACTCATAGCGAGCACTTTTACCCACTGCATCACCTTGCCAGCCTAAGAATGCACTCTTAAAAGAATCTGAGCTGGGTGTGGTAGCCCATTCCTTAATTCCCAGCACTTGGGAGGCAGAGGCAGGCAGATCTCTGTCTTGAGGACAGCCTGGTCTACAAAGAGAATTCTAGGACAGCCAGGACTGATACACAGAGAAACCCTGCCGTGAAAAACAAGATCAACAACAACACAAAAAAAAAAAGCTTATGAGTTCCAGGCTGGCTGGAGCTACACAGAGAAAACATGCCTCAAAAAACCTTTAAAAAAAAAAAATCTGAGGACAGGGATTGGATATGGCACAGTTAGAAAACAGAGAGCGTGGTTGATATACCCAGTGGGACTCCACAGGAAAATGACTTTTCATTTCCCAGTAGGTTTCAATTGCAGGTGATTGCTTGGTTAGGGGTGGGACCCAAATCCACTCCCCCTTCTCAGTCCTGGGAGCCCATCTGGCTTGAATTGTATCTTGCGTGTGCTGCTACAGTCTCTATGAATTGGTAAGCTTACCAGTCCTGTTAATACTGGAAGACTCTTTCCTTAGAGTCATCCAGAACTGCTGGCTTGGAATCTTTCCGACTCCTCATTTCCTAAGCTTTGATGAAGACAGCCATTTAGGACTGAGTGTGCTGAAGTTTCTGCACACTGTCCAACTGTGGGTTTTTACAAAAGAAGCTTCTCTGATGAGAGTTAATCAAGGAACTGATGTGTACTCTAATAAGGTATGAACTTTTAAAACTTTTTGAGACAGTTTTACTAGATTGCCACAACTAAAGCCAAATCTGGCCTCAAATTTAGAATCCTTCTGCCAGTTTCCAGGTCCTGATAAGACTATAGACTTAAGCATGTTTTTGTTGATTTGTTTGTTTTGGGGGTTTTTTGTTTGCTTGTTTTGTATTTTTGAGACAGGATTTCTCCTTAGCTTTGGAACCTGTTCTGGAACTCATTCTGTAGACCAGCAGCAGGCCTAGAACTCAGAGATCTGCCTGTCTCTGCCTCCCCTTGTGCTGGGATTAAAGGTGTGTGCCAACATCGCCTGGCCCCATTGCTTTGGTTTTAAAACAGTCTGTTTTTCAGTTCATTCTATGTGGCCTCAGTTTTTCAGTGATCTTCCTGCCTTTGTCTGTCAGGTGCTAGAACAACAGGTGCACACCACGTCTGGGAGGGATACTTTTAATGAGGAAAAAAACCTAATTTTCTGACCACAATTTTCTTGTTTACCATTTGCTCAGGGGTGGTAGTCATCAGCAAGTAAACTTTGTGCTTTCTTTAGTTCATTTTTTGAGTTACTATTAGTTATTAAACTACCTTAGACCTGGAAATTTAATTTGCATGGTTTCTATGGAAACTGTTAAAACAATAAAAATTAATCTATTAGGAGTTACATTTTAAACAACATACCACCCAAGAATTTCTAAACATAATTTAAGCTTCAAAACAGGCTTTGAAGGATAATCAGCTGTAATCTATGGCTCTGTGCATACACAACCTGGGGCTTATGGGCCATATGCAGCTGCATACACCAAGGTTAGCTCTAAATAAGGTCCAACACAAAAAGATGTAATTTACAGCATGATGACAGGGTGCTGATGGTGTTTGTGTGTGAAATGTGCTAAAGAGAATTCAAAATGGACATGCCTGAAGCCAACTCTGAGATTCCTGTTGGTTTTGGGTTTTTTTGTTTTTGTTTTTTTTGTTTGTTTGTTTTGTTGTTTTTTTTGTTTTGTTTTTTTAGCCTCTATATCTCCTCATAAAATTCTTTGAGGAACAAATAAATTACTTCATCCACAAAAAACTGGCATTTATCAGAAACCAGTTCAGTCATATGTCAGTTATCGAGCAATTAATGCAGGTACAAACAGGAGTGGGACATCCTCATTCCCCATCTGACCCCTTGCCTAACAAGACACAGACATAGATGAAAAACAAAGGGCATTAATTAATTTGCTATTTCTGGCTTCTGAGAGAAAGAGTCATATAGTTTAAGGATAAGTAAGTGATCTCCATGTAATGAGAAGAGGCAGCTTTAGCTCAACTATGCCAAATTAGCTCAAAGAACTAGAAATGAACTCAAGTCCACTGAACTTTTGTGTTGTGCCAAAAAAGAAGAGAAGCTTTCCCATGAGCAAATAGCCATCCTAGCGTTTCTGATATTCAATTATTTCTAAGCGTCTTGTTGACTACATACAGATCTATCAAACCCGGAGGACTGACTATGCAGGGGTGGTGCAGTGTGAGCATGGCAAGGAAGGAAACTCTTGAGGGAGCTCACATAAATTAATTACTCTCAGTCGTCACACAGGGCAGCAGCACTTCTACAACACCACAAGAACGACATGACATTTGATAAGAAGCTAGACATTTCTGTTAAATTGGAAAAAGCCAAGTGTGCTCATACCATAATGGAAGTCATAAGCTAACATCATAAAATAAGAAAGGGAAATAAGTTATAAAAACTGGCAGGAAGACTACATAGAAATCTATGCAGAAAGAAAAGAAAATCACTTAAAGTAATAGTGTAGCATTACAGCAGAGATGCTATAAACAATTCCCAGTCTACCAACTAGAATTTGAAATTGAATATGAAATGCTACTAATCCCCACAAAGACAAAGTCTACCACATCCCAAGATTAAAATGAAGAAAACTATAAAACTCTGACAAATAAAATAAGAAAATTAAATAGTCCTTGTATGTATACAGTAAAATTCAATAAATAGATTACTACATCTCTTATGTAATTTAGAGCTTAATAAAACAGTCCCCAAACAGACCAGGGAGACAAAGCCTCCTGACCTTTGACTAAAGGGCAAAAACAGGGCAGTGAAACAAACTGTTACAGCAATGGTGCTGAAGTCAGTGGGTGTGCCAAAAAGTGAGAGCACACACTAACCTTAGACCTCCATCAAACTCAACACAGAACAGGCCAGAGACAGCATAAAACCCCTACAGTATTTAAAATAAGATATACACCATGGTATGAGAAACAACAATAGTTAGTAAGTTGGTTATTGCTCAAAGTAAAAACTCTGGACAGGATACTGTTTAGAGAATGAGAGGATAAGCAACAGACACCTGATAAAGGACTCTTCAAAGTCAGCGAGAAAAGAAAAGTTCAATTCAATGTGAACAAAAGCTGGAGTGGTGATATGTTCCTGTAGTCTGGGAGGGGGGGCAGGAGGCTCAGCTACACAGGTCACGTTCTACATGAAACCCCATCAAAACAGAACAACCCCAAAAAGATAAACAAAACATCTGAGCAAGGAACTGTACAAGTACTGTAAACAAGTACTATAAATAAGAACAAGTACTGAAAATAAGTATGTGGCAGATGACCATGCTCAGTACCGTGTCATTTAGAAAGGTGAACTGAAACAATTAAGATACTACAATACCCATTAGAAAAGCTACCAGTCTGACAACAGCAACAGCTGGAGTGGGTGTGACAAACCAGAGCTCTCATTTATTGCTAGGGTAAGTGTAAACTAGCACATTTAATCTTACCCTTACTGTCTAACAATCAAAACCTTAAATGTGCATTAATAAAGTGAAATAAGTCAACTTGAATATGCTACACTGTATATATTCCAAGCAAACAGAGGGCAGTGAAACCAACCTGTTTGATTTTCAGTCACAGATTCGTGTCATTTTACATCTGAGAAGAGCAGCAGACATCACGATCCCAGGAGAGAACTCCAGCAAAATAAATAGACTTTGGACAGCAATGATGAGCCAACACTGACTTGCTACTAACGCACATATAACCTCAGAGGTAACAGAAGCTGAAGGTGAAGCTAGGGGTGGCACTTAAGAACTCTTGTACTCACCATTCCTTTTTTCCTAAAATCGACACATTCGTTCATTCAAACATGCGCACTCAGTCACCACCATCTAGTGACACAGTTCTCATAATCTGAATTTTTAACCCTTTTCAAACACATGTAAGGTTTCATTCCGAGTCTCCAAGAGTCCCGACTTACTAGTTGTGCTGTGTGATGGGTTCTATATTCATCTTCACTCTGAAAACGCTGCTGAAACTTTTCATTGTGTTTTGCAATACAAATTTCCTAGAAAAATATAAAATGTGTTTTAATTAAAATGAAACTTACAAAGACCCAGGCAAAGTCTATCTGACTTGTTTTCCTCAGCAGCAGAGAGCTATTGAGGACCAGCTCCTCCCTCCTTGAAAGGTCATCTCCTCATCTCCACAGGGTTAGACCTGGCCATTAAGATAAGTCTAGCCCTAACAGCAGTGCCTCAGTCCACTCTCTTAACATCCCAACTAAATAAGGCTAAGGATACTGACATGACCAATCAGAATATTTTAGCTGTCTTTTCTATGGGGGCTATGGGGAATCCTGGAGCCGTGTCTTTTAGTAAGTCACCCTCAGAATATGTGGGGCACAAACACTGGCTGTTAAGAATATATGTAAGAGGGCAACTCGAAGAGAAATAAAAACGTTTAATGTAAGCAGCTGAGAGTAGGTAATGGCTACTTAGTTTTAAAAATGGAAGCAATGATGATAAATCATTTTACAATTTGAATTATCAGACATGGATCAAGGATGGAGTAATGAATGAATACAAGGTTTCACTACCTTTTTATTTCTGAGGTAGGCTTTCTTGGCTGAGACGCGCCCCCTTCTTGCTTCTAGCTGGCGTGCCTTCTGCTGCAGTTTCTGGAGCTCTTCCCTCTGTGCGTGCACAGATGCCACCGTCTCCTCCTTCTCCAGCATGGCCTCCATGCTTTCGTAAGTGTCATAGTATACCACTTCATCTCTCTTTTCTGTCACAGAATGAGTGCTTTATTAAATGGTGATTAAAAGGTGATGAAATAAACCCCAGATTAAATTATTCAAAATTTTCAGCAGTGTCCGGTACACAGGAGGTGTTCAATAAATGCAGACCCAACTCTTCCACTACACACAGCAAAATTGCAGAAATTCTAATTCTAGATGAAGGAAGCTCCTTTAACAAAGTGGGTATGCTACAAAATACCCAAAACCAACATGCAGTCCGAATTGCGGAGTTCATAAAATCATTCACGTTCAAAGACTCCTTCCAAACATTTATGTTCATATTATTTTTTTAAGTCTTAGGAGAAACACAGTTGAGATCCATGTCCTTTCTCCACATCCTCTACTTTTTGTGGACCTCTGTAGTTAAATGCACACCATACCTGATATAAGTCTTTTGATGCTCTCCAGTTGTGCAGTCAAAAGTAATTCTTCACACTTCAAGATTTCAAACTGCACTTCATACAACTGAAGTTGCAGATCATAGTAATCAGCTTCAAGCTGATCCAAGTGAGCTATAGCTTCTGTACCTCCCTGCAAACTTTGCATCTGCAGTAAAAATAAAAACACTGTTATTAACTGGTGAAGAAAGTCAACTAGATATTAATACTATTCCAATAAGCTAAATCCCAAAATCAACTGTTTTACGGAAAAATAATGAGTACCAGATGGTGGTGGTGCATGCCTTTAATCTCAGGCTTACAGAGCAAATTCCAGGATAGCTAGAGATAGAGAGAAAACCATGGGGGGAGGGGAGAGGCAGGGTGTAAGAGTAAGACTTCCGACGAGCTGTGTGTGGCACTGTAGTCTGAGGCTATCTTGGAGAGCACAGGCCTAAAGTCAGACATTTGAGCTACTTGGGGATTGAAGATAGCAGACTGTCAACTAGACTAGCCTGCTAAAGAGTTTGTTCAGGGTCAGTCTGAACAACTTCTTGAGACATTTATCTCAAAATAGAAAAGTTATAAAAAGCAGCTGACAGCTCAATTATGAAAGTCTGTCTATATCTACAATATCACTATTTAGCTTCACTTACGCTATCATAAAGGGGTGGGGGAGGCAGTGATACTTTTACAAAATATACACAGAACCAAGGAAGAAAGAGAAAGGGCACCTCCTAAACATAAGGAAAACAAACAAAACAAAGTAAACCTAAAATTTTTAAAACAGTAGTAAATCATAAACAGTGGAAAAAGTTTTAATGTAACTTAACACAAAGCAAACTTTTAATGACTATAACATAGTTCATTCATATTTAGGATATCAGTGTATTATCATCACCCCGACACAAATCTCAATGGTTTCTCTTCTCAGTTCAGAAGCAGATGCTGAGTTACAGTGTCCCCTTGCCACAATAAACACACAGATGTTTATCATTACAGCAGAGTGGGAGAAACCAATTACTCCACACCATGGGGATGGACAGTGAAGAGAATATATTTTAAGTAGATCAGTCTCAGAGAATTGCTTTAGATGAGAAAAGTTCTTGCAACCTATGGATGATAAGTCACTGTTATTTTTGGTAACAAAGCCCTTTAATAGAAATGAAATCGGGGCCTTAGATTGGGCCTACACCGGAATCCCACAATTTCTGGGGATACTTTTGAAGTGGTAGATATCTTGTATGAGGCTTGTGTAGCTGGCCCTGAAGGATATTTGAAGTAATCAAATTCAGAGAAGGGAGGGTTCAGAACTGCTTCCCAACACTACTACTTCAAGCAGATGTAGCTTTTCCAGGGCTTCTTAGGCTTTGCGCCCGTCAGACTGTAAGCCTTCTTCTAAGAACATTTCTTCTAGAATATAGTACGCCTGTTGTCTTTAGTTGCCCCAAAGTCCAATGTTCCTGGAGATCCTGGTAGCACTGGAGAGGTGACCCCTGGCTTCAAGTGATTTTGCAGACGTGACTACCAAAGGCCAGAGGGAAGGAAGGAAAAGAATTTTTAAAGCCTCATTCATGTGAGACTTGGGTCCCAGTTCAGACAGGTACTTTCCTAGATCACTGCTCTAAGAAAGCCTATGGCAGAAAGACAGGGGACTCCATATTACTGTTGAATGGTCCCTTTTGTCTTGAAGGTAATGGATACATGAGAGCACAAAAGAATATTTTGAACAAAATTTTAGATTTTGCTGGCTGAGAAACAGTCATCAAGTGTATGCAAATCAAAATGACTGAGATTCCATCTTATGATTGTCAGAATGGCTAAGATCAAAAACACAAGTGACAGCTTGTGCTGGAGAGGATATAGAGTAAGAAGAACACTCCTCCATTGCTGGTGGGAGTGCAAACTTATACTGTCACTTCGGAAGTCAGTGTGGCAGTTTCTCAGAAAACTGGGAGTCAACCTACCTCAAGACCCAGCTATACTGTTCTATACACCCAAAGGATGCATACTCATACCACAAGGACAATTCCTCAACTATGTTCATAGCAGCTTTATTTGTAATAGAACCTAGAAACAACTTAGATGTCCCTCAACTGAAGAATGGATAAAGAAAATGTAGTACATTTACATAATGGAGTATTACTTAGCTGTTAAAAACAAGGATACCAGAAAATTAAACCAGGGGGAAAAAATCATTCTGAGTGAGGCAACCGAGGTATGCACTCACTCATAAGTAGATACTAGCTATAAAATAAAGGATAACTATGCTACAATCCACAGACCCAGAGAGACTAGGCAACAAGGAGAGTTCATGGGGAACACGTGGATCTCCCTAGGAAGAAAATAGAATTGATTTTGTAAGTTGACTGAGGACATGTGGGGATGGGAACATGAGTGATCAGGTGGAAGGGTGGACAGGAGAGTACTGAAAGAGACTACTAGAGGGGGGTAAGGTAAAAATCTGGTACAAGGAAACCTCCAGGAATTTACAAGGATGACCCCAACTAAGACTCCAAGCAATAGCAGATATGTAGCCTGAACTGACCATCTCCTGTGACCAGATTGGTGCCTAGCCCAATTTTCAGAGAGGCTTCATCCAATAACTGAGTGAAAGAGATGCAGATACATAGCCAAGCATTAGGTGGAGCTTGGGGAATCCTGCAGAAGAGAAAGGATTTTAGGAGCCAGAGGGTTCGGGGACACCACAAGAAAACTCACAGAACTAAATAGCCTGGACTCGTAAGGGCTCATAGAGACTGAACTGACAACCAGGAAGTCTGCACAGAACTTTGCATGTATGTTGGAGTTGTGTAGTTTGGTCTCTTGTGGGACTCCTAATAGTGTGAACAGGGGCTGTCTCCAACTTTTACTGGCTTTTGGGACACTACTCCCCATATAGGGTCACCTTGCTCAGCCTTAATACATGTGGAAGTGCTTAGTCTTACTACTACAATTTGATATGTCATGTTTTGTAGATACTCACAGGAGACCTGCCCTTTCCTACGAAGAAAGAGAGGAGTGGATTGAAAGGTGGGGACAGAAACGGGTTGTGGGAGGGACTGGGTGGAAAGGAGAAGAGGAAACAGCAGCTGGGATGTTAAATATTATAAATATGTATGTATATTATATATAAAGGATTTTGCTTTATAATCTAGATATTTGTACAGATTACACAGTGACTAGAATGCTTTTCCTTTCTAAAAAAGATTTATTTATTAATTGTGTATACAGTGTGCTATTTTCAGGTTTGCCTGCATGCCAGAAGAGGGGATCAGCCCTCATTATAGATGGTTGTAAGCCATCATGTGGGTGCTAGGAAATGAACTCAGGTCCTCTGGAAAAGCAGTCAATGCTTTTAACCTTTGAGCCATCTAGAATGTTTTTCTTACTGCCTAACATCAAATACATTTAGTAAGACAAAAAAAGAAATGGTTAGTGGTACACATTGAAAAATAACCCCAGCCAGGCATGATGGTGCCTGCAGAAGAGAAGCAGAAGCAGGAAGATCTCTGTTGAGTCTGAAGCTAGCCTAGTCTACATAATTAAGTTTCAGGACAACCAGGGATGAACAATGATACCCTGTTTCCAAAATAATAAAAATAACTCCATGAATTAAGTCTGGTTAAATCTTTCAATAAATTTCATAAACAAGCTATTAAGTAATCAACAATAAGTAAAGACACAAAAGGGCAAGCTCTCAACATGGAAAGAGTAAAAGAACAATGAAAAACTGGGGATGTGAGAGGCTCTAGTGTATAAATATAGATTCTGCCAATGACAGCTATACATCTGGGTATATGGAGTACAAGTGAAATGACAATACAAGCAGGTAGGATTGTCTAACTCCACATTCCACAAAACTTTGAGAACTGAACATTTCATTCCGTGTCTTTGATGTCAAATCTAATCTCGGAATGCATTTGTAACAAAACAATCTGATTTGATATTAAACCACATGTAAATCTTATTTTTCCATTTAATGTAACATGTTTTATCACCATGAAATCAACACCTTTCCGGAAGTTAGCCGCTCTGAACATTATCTTCTAAAATCCCAACATAGCTGGAATTCCTGAATGATGGAACACATCCTCAATGATTTCAGGAATGTTTTTTGAAATTTAGACGATAATATACATAAAGAAATAAGGAAGGACCTAAAATATTGAAATTTTCCCATTAGGGAAGGAGATAGAAAGATGGCTCAGCAGTTTAAAGCACATGCTGTTCTTGGCTTTCAGCCCCCACATTAGGCGTCCACAACTCACTCCTATACCAGGGGTCAGACGCATGCCCTCCTGACTCTACAGGTCCCGGTACTCACAAGCATATACTCACAGTTACATATATACACACTTAATCTAAAATAATAACCTTATCTTTTTTAATTCCCCTCGGGCTGGAGAAATGGCCCAAGGTTTAAGAGTACCTACTATTCTTCAGAAGACCTGGGTTCAATTCCCAGCACCCACTTGGCAGCTTATACCTGTTTGTAACTCCAGTCTTCAGAGATCTGACACTTTCTTCTGAACTGCACAGATACTTGTCATGGTCATGATACACAGACAAACATGCAGGCTAAATACTCATATGCATAAAAGATTGAAAAGAATTTAAAAAATAACTTCCTTTTATTGGGTAGCTCCTGTGAATATCTAAGCTAGATAGCAAAAAAAATGTAATAAAGTCAGGCATAGTGCCACACACACAGGCAGGCAGGCGAGTTCAAGGCCAGACTGGTCTACAGAATGAGTCCCAGGACAGCCAGGACTAAATAGAGAAACTTTGTCTCAAGTGTGGGGGGGGGGGGGGGCGTAAAGTAATATAAATCAAAATATAATGAAACCTTGACGTGTGTATTCTGGAAACGTAATTGGTTTCTCCCACTCTGCTGTAATGATAAACACCTGTGTGTTTATTGTGGCAAGGGGACACTGTAACTCAGCATCTGCTTCTGAACTGAGAAGAGAAACCATTGAGATTTGTGTCAGGATGATAATACACTGATATCCTAAATATGAATGAATATAGTCATTAAAAGTTTGCTTTGTGTTAAGTTACATTAAAACTTTTTCCACTGTTTATGATTTACTACTGATTTGAAATTTTTGGGTTTACTTTGTTTTGTTTGTTTTCTTTATATTTAGGGGGTGCCCCTTCTCTTTT